TTAACAAAGATTGATCTTGGAGAACATGAAGTGTTAGTTAAAATTTTGTGTTGCAGTGTTTCATCTGTTTCCGATCAGGTAATCATTTACTAGTAGTCATTGTTGCTGATAATTATATTGAAAAATATTTTTAAAAGATGAAATTAAAAATATTTTAGTTTTTAATGGCTTTTCATAATTTCTTTTGAGAAATCTAGTTGTTTTCAGTTAAAGTAAGGTTTGATTTTAAAATATGATATACATATAAACATTACCCAAGCCTTTAGTAAATCTATGTATACTCTACCACTACTAGTACCCATCCTTTGATACTCAGTTGTCGTTTGTAGCAGTATGTATGTATATATAATGTATATAATATAATAAATAAATAAATGTATATGTATGTAGTAGTATGTGGTAATGGTGTAGTTGTAGAGTAGTTGCTTCATAGGCGAGAAGTTCCAGTTCGATCAGCACCATGTCCCTAGTAGTATCTCGCTTAACTTATTTCTTTCACAAACCTTGACAAATCATGCAGAGGCCTTGTTTGTTTCATATTCTATGGTTCATGTTTTAGAGATAATAAATAATATTAAAAGAAAAGGAAAAAAAATGCACACTCTACTGTGTTTATCCCTAGTCAGTCAATGTATGTACACTCCAATGTGTCTATCCCTACATAGTCAATATATGCATAAGTGTGTGTGCATGTGTGGTTGTGTATATATGTATATATTTTTTAGAACAAAATTAGTTCTTTTGTTATTTGTATTGATGGTTTATGTAAATATTTGTAATATTTTATTTTCAAAAAGGTGTTAAAAAGGTGGCATTCTCATGGTAATGAAGAGTTTATATATCCATTTGGTAGAGAGATATCAGGATTAGTTCAAGCAGGTTTAAAAGATGTCTTATAAAATTATTATTTAGGTTTGAAGTAATAAATTTACTATACTAAAGAAAGTGTGATAAAGTGCTTGCCTTGTGAGCACTTTAGTGAGAAGTTCTGAGTTTAATCACTGTTGTGTCCTTGGTACTACCACACTCAAATTTTTTCTCGCCAAGTTCTCATGACTCAGAGAGACAAGGCTTGAGTTTTGGAGAAACAAGTTTTGTGACTTAAAGAAATAAGATTCATGATTTGAAGTGATGATGATGAGAAGCTAAAATATTAATAGAAGATGTTGATGAGAAGCTAAAATATTAATAGAAAATAAAACTTTTGTAGTAGCAGTTTAAAAAAAGTAATAGCCTCTATGAACTCATTGACCCCCTCAACCTTGGAGAAGTAAATACATTAAAAAATTAGACTATTTAAAGGCCAAAATAGTGTGGAAGCGTGAATATCATAAAGTAGCAATAAAATAACTAAGAACTATATCTCTGATTTTTTTTTTTTTTTTTTTTTTGATAAATAATTTTATTATAGTATTTAACACTGAGAAGAAACAAATTATATGTTGAATAAATGTAGGTTTTATGTCTTCATAATTCCAAACTAATATGTAACTAAGATATTAAGATGGTATTAGTAGTTAAGTTTTGTAATTACAACAATTAAACAATTAAAGCAACACTTCACACACAACACAAAAAAGTTAACGGCCTAATAATTCTAAACATGTAAAATAACTAAAAAAAAAAATTTAATCTTCAATAAAAATGATCAGGTTTTAGTGGGTCATATTATTTTCTTTAACTGTTTTTTTTTTTTTTTTTTTTTTTTTTTTTTTTTTTTTTTTTTTTTATTATTGGTTAAACTGTTGAAGATTTTAAGATAATAAAGATATTGACAGACCTTGGGGACATTATTACAAATAAGATATTAAAAGTCCCCACTCATCCTGCATCTTCAAAAAAAGTTATTCAAAATCAAAGGTTGAAAAAAATGGTTTTTCAGTTTTTTTCTGGTAAACGGTAAGTTTTATTATTAAAAAAAAATAAATCAAGCAAAAACGTTAGATCATGAAATTATCTGCAAAAATTGTCTTTTTTCTAAGAATTACTATTCCTGAGATGTAGGATGCGCATAAACCAAAACGAAAAGCTTTATACAAATCTTTTCGCATAAACCAAAAGATTTGTATAAGACGTTTTGAACCAAACCGTCTTACTTGTTCAAAAAAAACGACTATGACTCCAAAATATCGCTGGTTATATCTTCAAACATTGGACTAGGCGAGGAATAATTGGTATTTTACTGCCTAATGATCAGATGTCCTCTCGAATGATTATTGTGGCAGCTTTTAAGATTCGAAATCGTTCTCCCTCTTTATTTTGACTTTTTTTCTTATACCAAGCTTGGTTAAGAATATCACAATGATTGTCAAAAAAACAAATGAAAGATTATCTGCCTGGTTTTTCTACCTGGTTATAATTTTATTACCATACTTGAATTTCATTTGTATCTTAATTGTTCTGTTATCTAAATCTGTTTTTTTGCATATACTTTTTAACTCTTCCAATAAAAACTGACAATCATCACTATTTTCAATATATCTAAATATTTCTTCCATCAAATCATTCGAAGATTCATTTTAAGGACGAGCATATTTAACAACTATTATGGTACCTAGCCTCAGCAGCAACTAAATCATATTCTTACTCAATGCGTGCAGTATCATTTTTTGCAGTATCATTTTTTATCTTTTTTTTTAACATCTCGCATTTAAAAAAACCTAATTTTAATCAAATATAATTTATTTTAAAATGGCTAAACAAAAAAATAAAAAACCCTAAAACTTAGCAATATTTTCTTGTTCTAATCCAAGATCAGAAAAAAGCCGCAGAAACTTAATAGTAATATGCAAATCAATGTGACAAAAGTTTTTATCTTTTTACCTTGAATAACTTTTTTTGCAGATGTCGAATCGATGGGTACTTTTTACAGTTTATTTTTAATAATATGCCCAACATCTGTACAAATTTTCAGCTCTATGCGAATTATTGCAAACTTACCATTTTTTTTTGTCTATTTTGACCGGACTAATAGTATTTAAATATTGTTATAAAATTATGTAAGATTTTATAATAATATCGTGCATGAAATTTTAAGCAGACGGTTTTTTCTATTGTTTTTATTAATTATTTTTATTTATAGTTTAGTAAACTAAAATTTCCAAATTAGTTGATTTCATTTCTCAAATTTTTGAGTCAGAATGCTATGGTCAATTTTTTTTTTTTTTTAATTTCAATTTTAAAATCTCAAAATTGTAAAAAAAAAAAATTTAAAATGTTTTTCCATAATCTTAAAAGCTTGATTTAATAAAATGTCATAAATTGTTCAAGTTTTCAAAACTAAATAATGTGTCTGGGCTCAACTTGTTGTATTGGTAAAATATTGAATAAACTTTAGTTGTTGTTAACTTTAGTTATATATAAATATTATATATACTATATTGAATGAAATAGTTAAATTTAGAAAGTTGAAAACAGCTTTTAAAAACTTTATAAACAACACCAGGTACTCTGTTTTTAAGCATAATATATACTCTAGGTTTTCTCATCACAATAAAATTTTGTTATGTAAAAATGAATTTTTTCTTTTTTCTTTTTGACTTAATATGAAGTAATTGAAAAACAATTACTTTATATTAAGTATTAAAAGTATTAATTAATAAGCCATTATTTGATGAACAATTATAGATAAACTGGTATATTGATAAGAAGAATAAAAATGAATCTTTTATTTAAATCTATGATTTAAAAACAAATTTTTAATTAATTTCATGTTGAAAATAAAAAAGTAATTTATTACAACAACAACAGCAACAAACCGCAGCCCTTTAGTTTTTTTAAAAAATCAACAGGATCCAAATTTTATGTAACTACAAATACATTTCAATCAAATGCAAATATAAGTATTAAAAAATGTTTTAAATCAAATACAATACAATACTCAAATTTGCCAGTTCTCGAAACTTTTGGAAAAAAAAACAAATTTAATGTAGCATACTTTTACCAAATATAAATTTGTATAGTGCCCAAACTGTGGTAGATAATATATCAAGCAATATATCTAAAGATGACTTTTGCAAATAGGACAAAGATCAATTTTACTCAAATTTGCCAGTTCTCAAAACTTTTGGAAAAAAAAACAAATTTAATGCAGTAAAAAAAAAGTTAAAATCCTACTTTCATTCTTACATGATGATTTCAATGAGTTTCATTTTTACACAATGATTTTAATGAGTTTTAATCTTACATGATGATTTTAATAAGTTTCAATCTTACATGGTGATTTTAATGTTTCAACCTTTCATGATGATTTCAATGAGTTTCAATTTTACATGATGATTTGGGTCACAATATTTACAAAATCTATAAATAAAAAGTAGCATTTTATATAAATTTCTCAAAGGACCAAACTATAAGCTGTTAACAATAAAAAATTATTTCAGGATTTTAAAATCTTTTTTTTTTTTTTTTTTTGTTGTAAATCGTGGTACAACCCTCTCTCAACTGTTTAACTCTGAAACACGAACCTTGACAACCAAAGCCGCTGTGCAGAGAAAATTAAGTTGAGCGTACTTGCGGTACTATGCGGTAGTGGTGTAGTGGTAGAGCGCTCGCTTCATAAACGAGTGGTTCCGGGTTCGATCCCCACGTCCCTGGTAGTACCGCGCTCAACTCGTTTCTCCGCGCAGCGGCCTTGTTTGTCAAGGTTCGTGTTTCGGAGTTATAAAGTTGAGAGAGGGTGATAGCCACAAAATAAGTAGCCTCCTCGTCTGTAGTGGCCTTCTCGGCCTTGAGGAGGTGAATTAAAATTTAAAAAAAAAAAAAAAACTTCCAGGGACATGGTGGGAGTTGAACTCCGAACCTCTCGCTTACAAAGCGAGTGCTCTTACCACTACACCACTACCACTTTATACCTGAGTGGTATAAACAGTTTCTTGTTTTTTTAATAAGATAAGAATCACAAAACATCAGCACAAAACTATAAGTACCTATTAGGGACATATCAGAGGCAAATGCAGGATTTGTTTATGAGTAATGCCTATTTTTTAATGCAACTCCCACTAGCCAGTAGAGGAGGGTAAAGGATAAGGGGGATGGATTTGAGGGATTTATATAAAACTTAAACCAAGCAATACTTGTCAAAAAGGTGTTTAATTATTTTTAACTATTTTTATTTATTTATATATATTTATTTATATCTTTTAGGGTTAATTAATTATTTTTATATTATTAAAGAATTAATTAATAAAGACGATAGAAAGGAAATTATTAAAAGATTAATAAAGAAATTTTAGGGAAAAGATTTAATTTAGATAATCAAATTTTTTAAATAATAGTTTGATAAATGTTGTCATAGTAATGTTGCCATGAATTATATTCACTATATCTGATAAAAGTGTACAGTGTTATATCAGATAAAAGTGTACAGTGTTATATCAGATAAAAGTGTACAGTGTTATATCAGATAAAAGTGTACAGTGTTATATCAGATAAAAGTGTACAGTGTTATATCAGATAAAAGTGTACAGTGTTATATCAGATAAAAGTGTACAGTGTTATATCAGATAAAAGTGTACAGTGTTATATCAGATAAAAGTGTACAGTGTTATATCAGATAAAAGTGTACAGTGTTATATCAGATAAAAGTGTACAGTGTTATATCAGATAAAAGTGTACAGTGTTATATCAGATAAAAGTGTACAGTGTTATATCAGATAAAAGTGTACAGTGTTATATCAGATAAAAGTGTACAGTGTTAACTCATTGCATGAAAAGTATCCTAGTTAAGTTTCCTTTTTTTTTAGTTGGTTCCTGTGTAACATTGTGCAAATTAGAGTCTAATGTTGCTGGTAAGTAATTTCAAGTTGTTATAGTTACTTTTATGTTAAAAAAGATACATAGATACACAAAAAAGTTGGTGCATGTGTACACAAAGGCAATATGCACTACTAAGCAGATTTGTAAATACTTGTTTTTAATTGCAAATGAACTAAGTACAAAGTAATGTTTACAATCTTCAGTATTATACCTTTTCAAGATGTAATTGAGAACATGCATGTTGCAATTAAAAAATCAAAATTTGTTAGCGAGAAATAATTTAGAAATTGTAACATGTAATTGATGCACACAACATGTAATTTAGAATTTCATAATATGTTATTGAGAAACAAAACATGTAATTTAAAAATTGTAATATTTTATTCAGAAACGCAACATCTAATTATGAAATTGTAATACATAAATTGTAAATGTGAATGTGCAATGTAAGCTTTTTTGTTGTTATAAAAGTCTTTTTGGACATGAATTTAACTTTTTTTTCTTTTTTATTTATTCTAGTACACTCCCAAAAAAGCTGCAAGCAACCACTACTAAGTTGGAAGTTACTAGAAAACAAAGATTAGAGTTAAAGAGCAAGGGAACAGTTGACAGAAGACTTGAAAAGTTCTAGGTTGTATAGTCACAGAAACATGAAGATGAGATTAGGAAAACATAAAAAAGTTTTTAGAGCATGCAGGGACAGATACAGTAAAAAGATGTTACTTTGCTGAATAAGTCAGACAAGAATTAGTTTTCTGTTGATGGAACTAGAGATGATAGCTCCTTTTAGCAGCAACCATGATAGTATTTGTAGAAAAGATAAAGAGATGCAACTTTACAATAATGGAATAGAGGCTCAAGCTTGGCAGATAAATCGGGTCTAATTATGTTAACAATGTGATTTTGTACCTTGTCTAGAAGAGAAAGAGCATCATTAGAACTAGCCCAAATATGAAAACAGTGTTCCATACAGGGAAGAATAAGAGATTCCATACAGGGAGAAATAAGAGCAGAAGAACAAGATTCAGTCAAGCACTTATTAAATTGTTTAGAGTGAATTAAAGAGAGTTTTAAAGAACACTTTTGAACCCTAAAATATATAACACTAGAACACTATGACAGAAATTGTTGTCTGGACCACAAGTCATGGAAGAGATTAATTGAGTTATGACTTTAGCAAGGGAAGCTGGAAAAATTTAAATGTCTAACAATGGGTAAACCTGTTTAACTGAAATGGGAGAAAGAGTATGGCCATAAGATTCAAAAGTGTAATTAGAAAAAAAGTTCTTTGCAAATTCTGCCTTATTCTTGGGAGAGATAATAAGATTAGTTCCATGAATGAGAAATGGAATGTTAGACTTACTTTTTTAATGACGATGTTAAATATTTTCCTTAAGTCTCTAAAGCTGAATTTCTGAGAAAAGATACAAGATAAATGAACTGAGAATAATGAAGCTTAGCTTCAGACAGCACCTTTTTACATTGATTACATGCAATAATAAATGTTTGTTCTTGATTTGGTAAACTAGGAGCTTAGCATTAGACTTGGAAATGACAAAAAAAATGCCTGGATCCAGTAGGTTATTTAGGAGATGCATTTACTAGCAGAGAAAAGAAGAGAGCCCAAGGACTGTCACAAAAAAAAAAATCACAAAAAGAATTCCAGTCAGCTTTAGGGTAGTAGTAAGTAGTGGGATGATAGGGTGAGTCTGAAGAAGAAGTTTGACTTTTTTTTAAAAAATATCTTTGCTTTCAACAAGGCTGCAAGCAACTACTATTAGAGTTGGAAGTTACTGGAAAAGAAAAGATGAAGTTTGTAAAGCAAGATAACGATTGACAGACAACTTAAAAGATTGCAAATTATATGAATCAGGAAAGCAAGATAAAGGAAGTGAATTCCAAAGGAATTCAAGGAAAAAACTAGATGAGTACGAGTTTTTGGAGCACTTAGAAACAGTTACAGTAAAAGGGTTAGACTTAATTGAATGATGAATAACATGAGAATGAATTTTAGTTGATATCACAAGAGACCGTAGCTCTTTAGAGCAGTGTTCATTATAGTATTTGTAAAAAAAAGAAAGAGAAGCAACATTACGACAATGTGATAATGGTTGGAGGTTGGCTGCAAGAGCAGGTCCAACTATGTTTACTATTAATAAACCATAAGCTGTAACAAAGGGCTCCAAATGTGGCCTCGACAATGCACACCAAAAGTACGAACAGGGACACCATGCATTTGCAACATGTTACTGTTAATGCTCTGACATTTTACAGCTGTTGATAAAATCAGCTTCTCTGAGAACTACCACAGAGTTCAGGAAACCTGACCACCAGCTGGCCTCAGAACCATAAAACTGATTTTTAGAGCTGTACCATCATTAGGAGATAACAGAATGAGTTGCCTAGTCATAAAATCTTAGTGTTAATGGTTATTCATCATGATAGAAACTCAGAGGATCATTTAAAGCAGATTCTTTTAACAAGTAAATATTAGCTATGTTTTACCAGTGGGTTACATCTGGGAATCGTTTAGAGGATTTGATCGTCATAACAGAGAATGCTTCTTGTCATGCTCATTTGGAAAGAGTGTAAAAAAAAAAATCTCAGTTGTTAGGTTTGGGACCCTACAGTCCAATGTTAAACCCAGTTGAAACAGTCTGGTCCAAAATTAAAAGTAAAGTTAATAGAGCGCCTGTATTAGGTGCATTAAATTCAACAATTAGAAAAAATTGTTACTGCAGCAAAAAATTACAATAATGGAGGTAATTGTGCAAGTGCTGTACAACATACGACCACACATTGCACAATGGCTTTAAATATTGAAGAGTAAAAAATTGGTGTTTAGCAGAACATTGTGATTTTTAATGACATTCTTTAAATCTTTAAAAGTTAAGTTTCATAACTTTCATGTTCTCAACATCTTGTTTTTCTAAATTACAATTTTCATTTCTCAATTACAACTTACATTATCTTAAATTACAACTTTGTGTTCTCAATTAAGGTGTAATGCATTTATAGTACCAGTATTATAACACTGTAGTACCACTGTAGTGTGTGTATTTAGTTGTTAGAATTATTTTATGTTAGAATTTCAATTTTCATTATAAAACTTCATTTTTAAGTGTCATTCTATTGGATTCTGCATACTCTTCATTTTATTTTTAAGGTGTCATTCCATTAGATTCTACATACTCTGGTTGTGCAAATTTTTGTGTGATGTCAGAATTTGATTTAGGTAATAAAATAATTTCAAGTTTTCAGTATTTTATATATGGTTTAATATTTTAATTGTATTTTACAAGTTAGTTAAAATTTTTGTATAAATACAAAAAAAGTGTGTTGTTAAATCAATTTTTTGGGGGGATTTTTAGTTCAAAAACCTGAAAGTGTAAGTCATTTGGATGCATCATGTAGTATTGGTGATGGAGTAAAAGCATACACAGCACTTTTTTATCAAGCAAAACTTTTAAGCAATGAAACAATTTTAATTTTTGGTGCTTCGAAGGTTGGATTTGCTTTTCTTTTTTTTTTATTTTTTTTATTTTTTTTTTTTTTACATACACCAGTGATCCTTCAAACTACATTTTTTTATGTATTTTTTTAAAGAATTTTGTAATATCTAATGATGTGACTGATGTTTTACATAAAATTCAAAAAAGTTTTTTGTAGAATAAGCAGTGAGTTTAGAAAGGACTCCAGCTATTTTTTCCTGATGTCCAGAAGCTCTAAACATGTTGGTTTACTTATGATCTGCTATAAGAAAAAAATTCATGAGATTTAATGAATTGGACTTGTTTTGAAGCCTGGAATCTTTGCCACCATTTTACCTAAGGACTCCAGGCTCAGAAAATGATTGTACTATCTAAAAGTCTTAATTTTTTTAAGCTTCTTTACATATTTAGAGGTTCTGGATACCGAAAACCAGGAAGAAATAATCTTTTTATGACTTTCAAATCCTGAGTCTTTTTTGGGACTAAGCATCCCTGAGCAGAAAATTTTACACCAATACTTTTAAATTTAGATTTTAAATTTAAAAAATAAAATTTGTTTGTAATTCATTATTATAATTATTGTACTAAATTTATTATTCTCATGCATAAATGTATTAATAAATAAAATATCTAAAATTTATACCAATCTTCATAAAAAATTTTTTTAGGGCTATGGAATTCTTGCTGTTCAACTTGCTAAAAGCCTTCGTGCAAAGGTAATGCGTAAAGAAATTCTTGCATTATTATTCTAAGTAAACTTTTCACATGAAAAAAGTGTACATTGAATGTTGTTTTAGGTGATAGTTATTGGAGCAAGTGATGAAGAAATGGAATTTTTTAAAAGCATGCAACCAAAACCAGGTATTGAGTTTTAATCTTTACGCTGCTTTATAACCAATTAGTTAAAAACTTCTTTGTTCTAAAGCAACACAAAGCTGCGTATAATTTTATAATGTACACAAGTACAGAAATAAACTAATAAGATTTATTTACATACAAGTGTTAGGGCAGTTCTTAAAACATATTGAATATACATATGTTGTGGCCACTCTATAAACGTATTCTGCATTATAAAAAAAGATTTCATTCAAAAAAGTTTTAATATTGTTTCTAGTAGTAGTCTTTGATTATTTGACATGCTTCTGTTTGTTATCAACTAAAAAAAAAATTTATATTTTTTTTTTTTTTTTATATACTAAATGTCACATTGGTCTTTTTTTAAAATTTTAAAAAATTTTAAAAAATTTTAAGTAAAACTTAAATTTTTTAAAATTTTAAGTTTTACTTAAAATTTTTAAAATTTTAAGTAAAACTTAAAATTTTAAAAATTGGTTATCAAAAACTTGTGATAAAAAATTAAAAAAAGGTTTATTTAATTTAACATTCAGAAACTAGTTAATAAAGTGACACCTTAACAAAACAAAAAATCGACCGCAAGAATAATGTTCAAATGACTTGATATTAAATGATCAAACATGAATTAATTATATACATACAAACATAAACATGCATACATACATACATACATACATACATACATACATACATACATACATACATACATACATACATACATACATACATACATACATACATACATACATAAATATATACATACATACATTAGTGATATGACTTTATGACTTTTTGAAAAAAAAATTATTTCCTTTGTCATAAATCAATGAACTTTTATTAAAAAACATGTTCAATTCCTCTTGGTTATAAAAAAAAGTCACCTTGCAATTTAAATTACGTTTCGTCAATTATTTAATCTTGTTACTGCTACTACTAATACGTGTGGTTTTCCTGCAAATCATTAAAAACTTGTATAGATTAGAAGTGTTTAGAACTTTAAAACATTTTGGAAAATAATATAATATTTTAGAAGACTTTAGAACATTCTAGAACAATTCAAAACATTCTGGAACAATTTAGAACATTCTAGAACGACTTAAAATATTTTGGAACATTCTAGAACAATTGAGAACATTCTTGAATATTCTAGAATATTTTAGACTATATATAGTTGTTCATCTAATTTTATAGTTATTACAGGAGTAACACATGGCGTTGTACAAGACTAGCGATAGTAACATTCAGAAGAACAAGGATGTCTGGACCAATAATCTGGTAAAATTTGAAGACTCTCATAAACAAAGAATGGACCCTTTAAAAGAATATTCACTGGAAGAAAAGTGAAAAATGCCTCTCCAAAACCAAATTATTGGACGCTACCATTTCCTTGAACCAAAAATCAAAGGAGAAAGGAGCGAATAGCAGAAATTTCCAAAGAAGTCACCAAATTGTAGAAGAATAAACTGAATTTTCCTCATGTATCTTCTTATCTAGTTATACGAGCAAAGTTTGATAAAATTTTAAAATGTTATGATGAATGTGTCAAGCAGGGAAACTACAAACCCCTTGATGAAATTTTTGATATTACTAAAGTGGATGGAATATGGTTATCTTCCGAGGACAAGCGATTATATCATCTACAAGTGGAAAGCAAAGAAACAGTGGGATACACTACAGGCCAAGCAGCCAGTAAAGAAACGATCCATCCCTCTAAAAAACAAAAACTTTCTAATGAGTTATCCAACTTATCATCTTACTATCCTGGTTTTAGTGATTTTGACTCTGAGGCTGATGACAGTGAATATAAAACAATAAAGAAGAAGAGACAACTCCTACACCAAGCAGATAACATCATAAAAGCAAAATTGCAGTCAACTTGGTGAACTTAACACAAAAACATCTACAAACAAAGCTGCTAACATATGCAAGCAATTGGCTCGTGAAGGCATTGAAAACTCTATGTCAATCAGCTATTTACAAGTCAACAATCAAAAATCAAAGAGGTAATCAAGCTGAAGGAAGAAAGGATTAAAAAGTTGCATATGGAAAGTTGGTCCTTACACTTTGATGGCAAGCACATCGACAGAATGGATTATCAAGTGGTCGTCCTTAAAAATGAAAGAAGATAAATCAAATTGGATGTCCTTGGCTTGGTAGATGGCAGGGCTTTAACTATTGCTCAAGGAATTTCTAAAATCCTCTATAAATTTCATCTATCGAATTCAATACAGATGATTGTTGCAGATACCACCAGCATTAACACTGGAAAAAAGAATGGTGTTGTTGTAATATTGCAACGCATCAACAAACCTCAGTTTATCAGTTGTCGACACCATGTGTTAGATAGAATCTTCTGTTTGGTGATGGATGAAGAACTTGAAAGTAAAACACAATCGCCAAACATCAAATATCCATTTGTATCTCAACTGTTGAAGGAGTAGAACAACTGAAAATGCAGTTTGATAACGGAACAGAAGTAGTTCTCGAAACATCAGGCTGGAGAGATAATATGAAATTTTTGTTTCATCTCACTCGAGTGTTCCGAATTTTTGAGGAAAAGAAACATTTTCCATTGATCAGGTTTCAGAAAATACCCAACATCAGCAATGCGAGGTGGAACTCCAGAGCTATACTAGTGATCCTGGCCTTCATTTTAATTCCTTCAACAAGGACAGTTCTGCAGAGAGTCGATTTATATAGTATGGCTGGGCAGACCATTGGTTTACAGACCAACTGTACAACGAAAACAACTTTAATAACTTGGCTGAAATACTGAATCCATAAAAAAAGGCTTTAAGCTCTTTGAAAAATCACTGAAAGCGAGAGCCATCCATACTACAGATACCCAGAAGTAATCAATCGCAGAGTGTGCAATCAAATTAATGAAGGAAATGAATAATCATCATGCAAAAATAAAGACAAATTGCTCCTTCGAATTCTTCTGTGCAACAAGTAAGGTCAACAGTCTGAGTCATTGTTGGATTGAAAATTTATTGTATTACATGAATATGACATTCTAAATACATTTGAATACATAGTAGTAGTTATGTTAAAATCAATTTTTCAATGGCAGGGTGAACTTTTTTGAAAAGATATGCGAATAATAGTTAATTTCGTGCTTTTTAGGTAAAAGTTAATCAAACAGGAGCATGGGGTTGATAAAAAGTCATAATTCTAACATACATACATGCATCTATACATGCATACATACAGACATACAGACACACATACATACGTACGTGCGTACATACATACATACATACATACATACATACATACATACATACATACATACATACATACATACATTTATATATGTATGTAAAAGATAAAAATTAGGTAATAGCTTCAAAAAAATGTTTTGATTATAAATTTAAGAAAATTTTCTCTTGATTATCTTTAATTTTTTTATATTCATATCCTATACATTTGCATTATTATTTTTCAATTAAATTACACACTTTTTGTAAACATATGTATTATGGTTTTTTTACTGGATTGCCAACCTTGGTAAACATCTGTATTATGTTCCTTTAACTATTAAATTCTTAAATTGCATTATGATTTTTTTTTACTGAATCAATACTCTTGGTAAACATGCATTTAATTCTTTTTATCTGCACATTCAGTAAAAAAACTCTTTAAAAATAAATTTTATTTAGCATAATTTTTTATGTAACATCATTAATGATTGTATCATTGATATGCGTACTAAAATTTTTATGTAGATTGTATCATTGATATGCGTACTAAAAATTGTGATTTGATCAACATTTGTATGGAGGAAACTGGAGGCATAGGAATAGATTGCATTATTGATGATGGAGGTAATTTCTTAAGAAGATTACAGCAAGAGATATTGTAAGTTTTGCTGTGTTATTAACTTTGCTATCACATTTTTGCGATTTATTTTTTTGTATGGTTGTCTATTTTAAGTGGATGATTAAACCATAAGGTTTCTATTTTATTTTGTTCAATTCAAAGATGCAAATTGTGTTTAGTTGAAATGTATTCTGATGAATTCAAAGAAGCTAAAACTGCTTTCAAATTCTTACCATCTAAACATGAACTTATAACCTGCCTTGCAGCTGGTGGGAGATGGATTACTACTCAAAGTGATCTGCAGGTGGAGCTTTTTTCATTTTTCATTAACTTACCTTTATTTATAAATTATTGCATGTTTTTTTTACAAAGGTTGATCCGCCAGACTCTGAAACACTATTCTTAAAATGTGCATCCATACATTTCCTGTTTGAAGATGTGTGGACTCTTTCAAGATGTGAGTCATATTTTTATGTATATTTAGTTCTTTCATTATATTTTTTAATGATAATAAAATATTAACTAATTAGAAATAAAATTTCAGTGAAACCTTAGTTGTATTAACTCCTTTATTTGTATAATAACATTCCTCGTATATTTCTGTTTAAATTTTATTTATATAATATTTTATACTGTATATATTTTATTCACGTAATAACATTACTTCTTATATTCCATTCTTTTTTACATATAGTATTATAATTATGTTTTTTTTTTTTTTTAAATAAATCTTTTTATACTGTTTTGATTATTGCAATATACTATTTTTAATTTTGGATATGGATTATGCCCAGCGGCCCAAGGAAAATATCTTCGTATCTTTTCACTAAATTTATATAAAAAGTATTTATTGCTGCGGATATAGATACGCATGATGGGGACTAGTGGCGGATCTACCATATGCACTAGATTTTCAAAGATCTCTACACAGATATTACGTGCCAACAACCCAATCCATTAGTGGATGTATGTACTAAGGCGCATTAATATCTCTATTTTACTGTCATATAATAGTATATAATATAAGTAGTAATGTAACATAATCTACATTAGAAGATCTCTGTAAATCTGTGTAAGCATGTTAAGATGCAAATTTTAGAATGAAAATGTATTAGATTTAATTGTTTCAGATTACTTAAGTTAGGCTCGATATAAAAAGTTATACGAAATTTTATATATATTTTCTTCATTATCATTATTTCAATTTAGGTTTTATAGAAATTAAAATCTTTATATTATCATCATTACAATTTAAAATAATTTTCAAAATTTATCTTATAATAATATATATAATATCTATATTAAGTATGCATTAAAATTTCCTTGACTATTTTTTGACATACTAAATGATATTATGGCAAAAGTTGAGGCTGGCACTCTAAGGTTTGTTAATTAAAATGTTGGTATTAAAATACCTTTATTCTATTTAAACGAACTAAAAAATTTTTGCTGTTGTTTTTTGTATTAACATTCATAGTATAATTAGATTTACCCTGGTTACATATATATTTATGTAATTTTTTAATTATTAGTATAAATAAAGTGTTTATAGTTCTTTACAATTTTCGAAGATTTTATTACGTTTTAAAACAAAAATGCGATTAATTAAGGTGCATTATTTAAGGTGCAAATAAACAATTTGATAACGAAAATTTAAAATTATTTTAAATTGCTATTTTTTCAAATAGATTACTATTATGATAAGTATTATTCGCGCATAATTTGTTTTTGAAAATAATAATTGCGTGCGATACGTTCTCCAAAGACAAGTGGTTTTCTCTACACGGACGCAGGTGTTTTTGATGTTTCAGATATAAAACTTAGGCATTGTGAAAACTCCAAATGCAGGTTTGTTCATTCTTTCTTTTCATTCGTGTCAAATAAAAATGTTCATAAATTTTACAACCATTTTGGGGAGGGTGTAAACATCGGTTTTAACTTTCAAACACTAAAAGAATAATTTAACATTATTAGATGAAATTGAAAAAATTGATAAATTGTTGATAAATTTAGTATAAGATAGTAAATTAAAATATTTTATTATTTCATTGCCCTCACATTTGGGATAGCTAGACAAACTTTTTTTTTTTTTTTCTTACCAGAAAAAAAATGCGTCCGCCTATGCTTTTAGTTTATTTAGATTAAAATTTCAGTTTATTTCTGCAGTTATTAACATAAAATAGGTTTTAGTTTTTTTACGTTACTAAAGATTTTGCTTTAATTACACAATATAACTTTAATAACAATGTCTTTGTTTTGAACTTTTAGACCAACTGTCCATCATACAGTCTTTCTTGACGATTGCGTTGATAACCTTCCTCACATATTGGATTCAACAATCGGAAAAGTAGTAATAAAAATATAGCAACTAATAAAATATATATCATGTATATTAAAAAAAGAAACTTAGAAACTTGAGATTGTAGTTGAGATTGTATTTTAAGTTACGGAACAAAACGTCACATTGTTTTGTAGGATTTGAATAAAGTGCCGTGTTCTGATAAACGGTGCCAATAATAACTCCTTATTTAGCATTTGAAAATTTTAAATAAATCTGACATACTTGTCAATTGCTTTAAATTTTATTTTAAAGTTCAAAAAATAGTAATCATTAGTGACGATTTTATTTTAATTATTTATTTGGGTTTTTTATAAGGATGTACCGGAATTCCGGCTGGAATTTGTGTCATTTAGATCAATTCGCTTCTGGCTGGAATTAAAATTTTTATTTGCACAAATAGTGATACTGCAAATACATTTGCAAAAATTACATTTATTTTTTTTTACCTAGGTTTACTTATTGTTCTTCGTTGCTCTGTAGGATAATGATTTTTTTTTGATTTATTTACACAGCCTGTCACGTCATAAAAAAAAAGTTAAAAAAATTTATTAATTCCAGCCAGAAGCGAATTGATTTAAAAGACACAAGTTCCGGCCGGAAAATCATGTACATGCCTAGTTTTTTGGATAATTTTATTATTTTTAAAGTAGTTAGTCAAAACCTGAAGAAAAAAAAAAAGAATTTATGCTAAAAATAATACTAAGCAGTTTTAATCTTTTAACTCTTATTGTATATCAGGAACTCTAAGAACAATTTATTTGGTAAACAATTTATAGTAAATATGCTTATGGTTCAATTATTCTCTATACTCTTAAACTATGCAAACGTTGCTTGGAGTAATACTAATAAAAGTAAACTTAAGCCTCTGTTGTCAACAGAAGCACGTAGTACTTCAAATATGTTTTAAAAACCGTTGTTCCCATGCCAAGCCTCTATTATCTCAAATAAAAGCTATTAATACATATGAGCTTAATATTTTTAATATTCTTTTTTTTATGTTCCAACGTAAAGTCTAATCGTCACCCGTTTCCTTTTCTGATCCGTATTTATCAGGAATGCAAATTTTAGTAATTTTTGTTTTGCTTTTCGCGGACCATTCTTATGAGGGTAGTTATGGAAATTTTTCTAGGTTTTATTTAACTATGTACTCTTTTAAGCGAAGCTTTAATAACTAGTTTTGACGATTCTTTATTTATTAATATACCTTAATAATATTTTAGTTTTTTTTTTTTTTTTACTCTCTTCTTAAGATATATACATTCATTAAGAGCATTAGTCATTTATCTGCATCTAAAAGTATGCAGAATTTTATATTTATAATGATATATTTTTTTAATATTGTTTATGATTTTAATTTGTAATTATTTATCATTTTGAAGTATATATACTCTTGAATATCTTATATTATAAATATCTTGTCAACTTGTTGAGCGTCCTAAAATTTTAATGAAATTTTGGGATGTTCATTTTTGTCGGCTCTTGACAATAAGGCTTTACGGTCTTCTACGATTTTTTTTTATTACTTATTAGTGATCGTTACTTGTAATTTACTATTATACTTATATATTGTATATCGCTTTTTTAAACTGTAATGAAAAGAAATAACTATACTTAAATTTTAAAATATATTTTTAGCATTGTTCCCATGGTATGACTATAAGAATATTTTGATAAATACTTTGCACAAAAACGCCACCCACGCAATGATTAATTTTAAAGAGGAATTTCTTTCATCACAATTGTTGTTAAGGTAACTGAGTAAAAACAGTTTTTCACGGATACGAGACCCATTAATTGACAAAACTTTAAATGCTTCGTTCAAATCTATGTGACCTTAAGAACAGCTAATTATTAAAATATGTGACAACTAAAAAGCTGATTGTTAAAAATCTTTAGCCAACAACTTTGATTTAGCTCAACTTACTTGAAAATTTCTTATAATTTCCAACTTTTGTCACGTTATGGTTTTCATTATTAAACTCACAATTGCATTAGCTCTAACTTGATTAAGCTTTATAGCTTAATCAAGTTTAACTTGATTAACTAAAGTTAAAATGTTGCTTAAATCTGAATACGAAATTTTTTGGGGGAGAAAAAATTGACAGGTGTTTGCTCCCCAAAAAAATATTCGTTTTAAACTAGTTGTACCTGAATTCCGGCCAAAATTCATTTAGATGACTATTCAGTACATGTAACGCTAAAAAATCTTCTAAAACACACTCTTAAAAGGCTGTGTGATGTACAAAAATCTGCTTAACAATCACAATGCTTAAGAAATAAAATAAAATGACGTTTAGTTATATGTATAGATTGTACCACAGATTATAGTGTTTACAAACAGGTAAGTCAAAATGAAAACAGTGAACAAAGTCTAAAAAACAAAGAGTGCTTGTTTCTTAATTGCATAGTACCATTAGAACTCAATGGACTTTATAATAATAAAAACCTTGTAGCAATATTCATCCAAAATTTTTGTTGAAACAATGCTACTATGTTTTCCGCAAAAAAAAAAAATTAGTTCATAATCTTTTTAAATTTTAATAACTCAAACCTTTGAACGATAGAAATTCAAATTTATTTTAGAAAAATTTTTAGTATTTTAAGAATACTAAATATTTTTTTTAAAAACTTTTTGTTATTGTTTAATAACATATATTTATATATATATAAATATGTATATATGTATATATATATATATATATATATATATATATATATATATATATATATATATATATATATATAATTTATATATATATATATATATATATATATATATATATATATATATAATTTATATATATATATATATATATATATATATATATATATATATATATATATATATATATATATATATATATATAGTATATATATTTTTTTATTCATATATTTGCCGTACATATAACATTTACAAGTTTCATGAATTAAAAGTTGTAATATTTACAAGTCTCGTGAGTCAAAATATATAGTGAAATTTATAATTAAATAGTACAGGCCGGACTTCAAGAAGATCGTAATGATCTTATCACAAAGCCCTTACAATGTGTTTGATATATATTATGATTATGTTAAATATAATTATGTATTAAGTACAACTATATTTTTATATTCTTTAAATTAAGCTCATAATAAAAAATAAACTCAAAATAAGCTCAGTATAAAATATTAGACATAACAAGCAGCATAATAACTAAAATTGATAACAAAAAATCAAGTGTTTTTTTTTGTGTGTAATAAACAATTTTTGATATATTGTTTGACAAAGGTAAGAGTCATTTAGATAATACACATAAACGAGTTAGTTCACTTTGTAGTTGATATATATATATTTTAATTTATAGTCTTAGAAGAATTCTGAGTATCTGTTTAGATTCAGTATCAGATTTTTTGACTTTTTTTTCAAGGAATTTTGATTATCTAAATTGCAAATTGATTTATTTTTAGTTACTAGTTTGTTGTTTAAATAAGGACCCCGATATGAAATTGAGAACTGGGAAAATTTTTTTTTTTTGAAAGGTGTAATAAAGTTTCCTTTTTCTCTTGTGTTATATTTATTAACGTTATTTAAAAAAAAGCTATTTAAAAAATGGTTTGGTACTTGACCTAATTTAAATTTTAGCATTAACAATATATTTTGGTAAATGTTAATTTGATAAATATTAAGCACATTCATTTCTTTAAATAAGGGTTCAGCGTGTGTAAATTTGTCTTTATGGTAGATTACAGCATGTTTCTGACGTCGATATAAAGTTTTCAATTTGGTTATATGCGTATATATATATATATATATATATATATATATATATATATATATATATATATATATATATACATATATATATATATATATATATATATATATATATATATATATATATATATATATATATATATCTGCGATCGATGTTGCATCAACACAACTCGTAACATTGTTTTAATTTTATTTCATTCATTTTATTTCATTGTTTTGTTTTTTTTGTAAGCAAATTGCTTTTTACCTCTCTTGTTGATACATTGATATATTAAAATTTTAATTGACACATGAGCAACAACTTTTTTAAATTGTGGACGAATTTGGAGGAATGAATATAACTACTAAAAAAGCTGCATTAGACTATTGTTGAAAACTTGTATCCTGGTATTCCATTTGCTCCTAATAAGCTTTATTAGAACACTACTAGAAGAGAGGTACTGTCTAATTGTTATTTGTTAGTGTAAGCTTTACAAAAAGTTGTTTCATTTTTATTTTTAAGTTTACCATTTTGTTTTTTTATGTTACGCAAATTAACTGGTAAACAACCTTTTTACAACATTTTTGGGTTGAAGATACAAATTCTTTTCCTGGACCTCAATCTTAAGAAAAAATTAAGATTTGTCGACAAAGAGAAAATAATTTTATTGGGATAGCGTTATGATGATACACGTGCTTTAACCTCTGGCCTATTGTTATATAATCTTACTCAAGATCATTAAAAGGAGTTTTAGCGTTACAGCATTATGCCTTGCAACTACCACTTGCTTGTACTAATTAGCTTTGACTACAATTGTAAAGCTTTGTGGAAAGTGTAGCAGTGATATATGAGGCACCACCTCACAGGAAAAGGGACCAAGTCTTAGAAATAAAGTTATTAGCACCACTGCATTATAGAAAGAAAAATGATCAAAAAGAAAATGAACTTGATATCTTCATTTTTGACCAAGTTATAGCTGTTTGTGCGGGACAACGACCGGAATAGCATTTTTGAGAAAATAAAAGAAATTGAAACATAACTTTAAAAATCAAAAAGGTACCAAGTCTTAATTAAATACAAATTTTTTTATCTGCTTTTTGTTTAGGACAAACTGGAACTGGTTTTAGTATTTTATTTATATGTCCAACGGCAAATTTAGGGGCCCTTAAAACCTTTTTTTTTTTTAGTCGTTTTTAGGCTCCGGCCTATAAAAAAGCCTCTAAAAATAAAAATAGCCCTGGGCCTCAAGAAGTCTTAATCCGCCACTGCACAGGCTAATTCATTTGCAATACTAAAAGTCACAACTTTAAATGGAGTTAAAAAATAGATAGGTCCAGGTTGATCTGGCAAATTTGGTAGAAAGATTTGCTGTGCATAGTCAAAAGAAATGTGTGAAATTTCATTTTGTTTTGCCAGTTTGATACTATTGTGATAAACGGAACGCTCTTTCTTTCAGTTATACGCTCTGAAACTGCATAAGTCCGAGTTGCATAAGAATAAAAGGCAAGACTATTTTCCAGATCTTTGAGAAAGCTCTAACTTGCAGAGAACGCATTCCAGATAATTCACATGCTAATTTATATTTTTCATGTATGCTTTTCTTCGTCTCCCATGACGGAAGAAGCTTCATCCGGTGATTTTCCGGGTAGAACTAGTGCATTGTTTTCCACATAATTCATTATAAATTGAACAACTGCTGTGGCATCTTCTTTTGTACAAGTTTTTTTAGGTTATCTTCCAGTATTGCCATATCTGCGAGGAGCAATCCAAACTCAATGACTCGCCTACGTAGTAGACGGAGACGCTTACGACCAATCCCGTGCAAATTCAAGAATGATTTCAAACATATCTTGTATCCGTGAAATCTATAATCCATCATTGTTTTTGATTGAAGTTTATTTTGATCTTCATAACGATTACAACACATTAGCCTTTCACTCGTGTGAAGCAGAACTGTACAAAAATATTGTCATTCAGTTTGTTTTCATGCTCGATCATCCCATCAATCTCAAAAGATTGTAGTCTGTATTCATGTACTTTTGAATGTGAGAAGCGCGCCAGTTTTCATTTTTTACTCCTTGATGACACCCAGAGCAAGATTTTATAAAGTTTTTTATTTTTTCCTCATCTTCATTTTTAAATAACTGTGAATAAAGTAAACGGAGAGGAGTTGTTGTCTTGCTGGTGTTATCAAGAACGACTAGTCATTTTCGGTTGTCGGTTCATCTTGCGAAGTTGAAGCTCAAGGCTCATTCTTAGTCATCGGCTCATCGTGCAAAGTTGAGGTTAAATGTTAATTCTCGATCATCGCCGCTTCATCGTCGCTAGATGCTTGGTTGTCAGAAAAGTCAGACATTGAAAAATCATCATCGGAATTCTTTTCACAATCTCTATGTTCAAAGAAATTGTACAGGACAACGTTGACTTCTGATGGATCTAAACCATTAGTTTCACAACTATTCAAAAGCTTTGCTATATCAGCATTTTTAGAAGTACTGGATTGGCAATTCATAACAACTAAAAACCATCACAATAATAAAAGTCATTAGAAATTAAATTTAAACTTTAATTTTATATGAATCTCTTTCCACACATACCGTGATTCGGCGCTTGTTGTTGGTTTGAATACTAGCAGAAATTTTGCATCAGATTGTTGTTTATTTGTTGCAATTATTTTTTGTGTATGAACGTCAATGTCACTTTATTAAAATGCAATTTATTTAAATACAAAAAAGCCACAGTACCACACAAAAAAACCACAACTTTTATGAATTGAGCGGGCTTATTACGTCAGCATTTGATTTTTTTTTCTAAAGTCACACCTGTTAGAAGGAATATCAACAAAGACAAGCGTATCGTCACTGAAACTGCAAAACCTCGTATGTGATTTTTTTGTAATTGCGATGATAAGTAGTTTTTCTTTCATATTCATAGCCAAATCAATGATCACATGACAAATTGAAACCATCTCATTGATCAAACTGTTACAAGGTTTTGCAAGTACATGTATACTACATTATAGAAACGTTTTACATTATAAACAGTATTAGGCCAAAAATGGCTGTTACGAGGTTTTGCAGTTTCAGTGACGATATTTAAAATTATTTCTTTTTATCAAACAATAATTGTTGTTACTACGACAAAAACATAACAAAAAGCTTTGATAACAATTTTGGTCACCATACTTAAAAAGTAATAAATAACATACAAATTAGTTACATTTTCAATAAGTTCTGAAGATTTTCAACGATTATTGATCAAAAATAAAAAATATTACTGGCACGCTAAAACGTTAATAATACAGCATAAAAAAATAATTAACAAGAAATTCTTTACTTCTAGAGGAGAGAACATTTTCAAAACAGGTCTGATGAAGACTTGGCTCCTTTTCCACATTTTCAAAACACTTTTGCTATTATCTAAAAAAAATTACAAAAAAACACCTGATATGTATTGTATTATGATAAAACTATAAAAAAAAAAAAAAAAAAAACATAATCTCATTTTTGAATTTTTTGACCTGACGTTCAAAAGACGTCTAAAACGTATATAAGACGTTTAAAAGACTTTATTTTTACGTCCGTGCCCACTAGGAAGACTTAGTACCTTTTCCTGTGAGATTCCTCATATTTCAGAACTATTAAGCTTGTCATGTAAACTGCAGACACTTTGACAATGAGTATTTATTACTTATATTTATATTTGGTGATATTTTTTTTTTTTTTTTTAATATTATAACTAATTATGGTGTGACAAGTTAAATTTTATTTGTGGGACATCTAAAACACTATCGTGTCGCGTGTCACCAAGCCCGAATTTTTACGCAATTTTCACGTAAATATTCGTCTTCGTGACATGTGACACAATGTTGTCTTAAATGTCCCATTAAAAATAAATTTAATTTTAAAAAGTCGCGTAACTAATTAAATTTTAAATGTCACGCTATACCTAATATTTAAATGTCTCGTGAAACAACTATAATTTTGCCACGTCAAACTGATATCTAAATGTCGCGTGGTAAATAGCAGTTTTATTTAAAAATTTGGCCAAACATTCTTTACAGAGCATAAAACACTATTTTCTACAGTTTTCAGTTGTTGTTTTTTTTTGTTTGTTTTTTTATTTCGTTGATTAATTATTCTGTTTACGATTCCTAGTAAAATCTTTTTGAAGTTATTAAGTGATAATCTTTTCTTTATGATCACTTTGTTTTAATCATAAATATTTATTCTTATTATATTATAACAAGACGTCGAGTATGGTAAACACAATACCATTAATTGGTTATTTTTTTTTAATTAGTTATGTTGGTTGTTTTTCAATTGTTGCCATTGGTTTCTTTTTTTAACTAAGTGTTCTTTTAATTACCTATCGGCTAGATGTTTTCTCTTTGTTCTCCCGATAAAATTAAGGATAAAAGGGTAAAAGGTTTTTTTTATAAATTAAAAAAAAGATGAGACTTTTTTGCACGCATGTGTAAAAAAGTGCGAATTATTCTAGCGTGCGAATAAACTATATCTTATTATAGTCTATCGTACGTTAGAAAAAGAACTTAAAGTTAAATTTTTTAATAATGAAAATTAACAAAGAAATAACAATTCATATTTAAGTCAAGTATTTTGAAAGCAATTACATATAAAACTCGAACATATAACGTAAAATACTAAAACCGTAAAAAAAGCCGTAAAAGTAATAATAAAAAATTAAACAACTTAATGTGACTAAATTTTTATTCTTAAAAAAAAAAAAATACTTGCCAATAGTTAAAACAAATTTTAGAAATTGTTTTTTATAATTAAAAGATTGCCTACCCAAGCCATAAATACTTACACTCCACTGCCTCCATTCCTTGAATTCACTCGACAAATGTACACTCGACAAATGTACACTTCACTCAAAATTCTCTACTACTTGAAAAATAATAAAATAAAACTCAACTATTTTATTTGATCTCATTTTGTTATATTTATTTTATTTTGTTTATATAAAAATACTATTAACTTCATCATCAATAAACTGAGATGTTTTCAATAAGTACGTTTGGCCGTGCGATTAGCAATACGAAGATAAGCGTTCCATTCATTATGAAAATAAAATCATTAAATGGAGCCAAAATATTTTCATTATCTCAAATTAAACAATTTCACAATTAAGACAAGCTTAGACATCAACAATAAATATACCTTATTTTCTAAATGCTTGTAATAATAAGATTTATTTTAAAATAAACTGTTACTTTTTTATTAAATAGTTTTGTTTAGACTTAAACAATTAAATTAAAATCTTCAACTACTTAAGAATATCACGTTCATGGCCTGTTAAGGTTAAGAAGACTGAACAGCGCAAAAATTAAAAATTGATCAAGTTCGCGCGCGTGAATGAAATTAGGGGGAGGGATTAGACAACCGAGCATGTGAAGCTTATATGAAGGGGGCGGGGAGGTAAGACCACCGTTAGGGGGGGGGGGGGAATAAGACCTATACCATGGGACAACAACTCTATTTAAAAAAAAGTTATGTCGTTCTTCACAATTTCGTACAAGCTGGCGTTCTAGTTTTTGATATAAAGAAAAGGTTGTTAACATTTTATTTAAAAAGATTCAATACATAGAAGAACCTTATGGACGACACTTATGGGCGAATCTTTAATAAATTGGCGAGATACTTTTAACAATCTTAGAAAAAAGAAAAGAGGCTCTGATTAAATTAGCGTCAATCTGGTAAAATCTGTATTTTATGTCATTGAACTTTCTCTTGAAACTTTCTTTTAAACCAGGTATTGCTTCTGATAAGGGATTGTCCAGAAATTACACAGCGCTAAATTTATTTAAAAAATACATTTAGATCTTAAGCTCTTTTACGCGGCAATTTTTATTAAAACGTAATTTTAAGCTATTTTAATTTTTTATTCAGCATAAGGCATCGGGGAAAACTTTTGATCTGCTTTGTTAGTGAAATTTAGCGTTGCTTAATTTATGGACGATTCGAATAGTCTATAAACTGGGGTTGCAAATTTTATATTGTTTGCTCCATGTCTGGAAGTTAGCTATCTCAAAAACCAAAAAATGCATTTTGGCGCCCCTGCTCAGATCCCTCTAACTTGGTTGCTTAGAATAGAAAGTCAACATTGAACCTGCAGTGACTGGCAAATCTTTTAACCCAAAATAAATTCAATTATTTTCTACTAATATTTATTCCAATATTGTTGATATCTCATTTTTAATAAATGGCAACACCAAGTTCTCTACAAAAGACGTAAAGTCTTCTTGGATTATCATTCACAACAGACATATTTTAGAAACCATATATACAATTTATTGCAATTTTCTTTTCCTTGAACATTTGTGTTTTTCTGACACATTATTTGTATTATAATTTTTTTAGCATTTTACTTTAATGAATTTATTGTATGATTTTTGCTTGGTTTTAGAGCGTTTTTTATATGCTTTATTTATCCATAGATTAGCAAGTGCTTTTATATTTACTACTTCCTTTGGACATGCTTCATTGAAAATATCTTGAAACTTGTTTAAAAATTACACGCTTCACTTGCATTTTGTCTTTTATTACTCCAGTTGGTTTTTTTAAGTTCTATTTAGCTATTTAAATACTGGTTAAATCAATGTATTTTAAATAAGTCAAAAAAAAATTTTATATAAAGAAATTTCTGATGCGTTCATGTTTGTGTCACCAAGGAAATTTTTTTTTTCGTTTACTATTTTTAGTAAAATCTAAACTGATTTAATTTTACTACAAAATTGTTGGTGCACACATCTAATTATAATATTTTTATTTTCTTTCTTAATTACTTTGATAACAAGACTTTTATAGTTAATACACAACATGTTTGCTACGCATAACTTTTTTATTTTAAACGAATACTCCTCGAAAACGTAAACATCTAGTCTTCCGCTATCTTTTGATTTCCGCGTGGTTGGCTATAATTAGAATTCGATTCTAGCGAAATTTCCGATTCCATGCCAAGCTTCAAACAGAGTTTGACGTCAAACGTGTAATTTAAAATATCTAGAAGTTTATTAAACTTCTCAAAATTATGTCGCATTCTTCTTAAGTTTAAGTGAAATATGGAAAAAGAGATTATATCTTCTTTAATTTTAAATTCATAACGATCTTGTTTTTATTAAATTCACATGGTGTTCTTGAAAAGCATTTAAGTTCCCTTCAGATGGGTTCTCTTCAGATGGGTCAACTAGATATGTATAAAGATCAAAATTTAAGTTTAAAAAAACAATAATTGGCATCTTTAATAAGTAAAAGAACATTTCTCTCTAGAATACGTAATCAAATAATATTTTTTTTAAAAAAATAACATTATATATATATATATATATATATATATATATATATATATATATATATATATATATATATATATATATATATATATATATATATATATATATATATATATATATATATATATATATATATATATATATATATATATATATATATATATATATATATATATATATATATATATATATAATCAAAACTAAAGTTGTGATTATAAATTTTATAATCACAACTTTAGTTGTGATTAAAGATTATTTACAACTATCTAATAGATAAATATTATTACAAATCTAAAAAAACAGCACAAACATCGACCCCGTCAAGTAATTAAGTAGTCTGATTTTTTAAATAATGTTGATGGTGTATAAAAATTACAGTTGAATGTCTTGTTAAAGATCTGTGTTTAATTAAAAAGAAATATGGCTAGAAAATATGTTGGAAACATGTTATTAAGAAGTTTAAACATAAACAATAAAATACGAAAGCATTTTATTTCTTTAGTAAAGACTTGGCGTATGCATACCTATCTGCATTAAATATAATAAGTTCTATTTGCAATCTAGTTACGTCGTACGTAACACATCGTATACGGTCTGAAGATAAAACTGAAGTTAATTTATATTGGAATTTAAAGTTCTATTTTTTTGTAGTGTATAGATTTCATGACCGAAAATGTTGATTGATAAATCTACAAAAACTCCCAGTGTATAGTTGTTGTCATCAAATCTATTCAAAATATCGTTAGTCAAATCAAGTATTGCATTTTCAGTGAAATGACTTTTTTGAAAACCAATTGATTTGTTATAGAAAATATTATTATTTTTAATGCAGTTGTATATTCTATTATTTATTACACGCTCAAGAAACTTTAAAAACATTGGAAAATATTGAGATGGGTCTGTATTTAGTTTCTATAGAATCATCGTAATTTTTATAAATAGAAGTTATTTTTGTAAATTTTAATTGATCAGGAAAAACTCAATAGATTCAATAATATAAAAGACAGCTTTCACAAAATTTGCACTTATATCATTAAAATCTGCACTTTAATCTGCTTGTACTATGTTAAAAGGTAAACGAAGCTCATCAATGGAAAGTTCTGAATTGTCCATTTACAAAATTAGACTTCTTCAAAAAGGGCTAAAATACTTTGTTACCAGGGCTGACTACACGGGTTTTGAAGTGGAGAGGCACAACCGTCACCCAGTGGGCATTTCGACGTTGAACAAACGTCGAGCAACGTCGAATCGACCTTGGGTTTACGTTGGAAATGGAAATGTTATTTGACGTCGGATAAACTGACATCGCGCGACGCCGGCATTCTGATGTTAATACAACGTGTTTTTTGTAAACTAAAAAAAGTTTCCTTAGGCAGGAGTCGAACCATGGCCTAATAATTCTAAATCCTACGCGCTTATCACTACAGAGACATATTGTTGAGGGTATATATTTAGTAAGATATATTTATAGTTATTTGGGAATTATTACTTGGATAAGAAATAATTTAGTTTTAATATTATATAAATATTAAAACTAGCAATTCTTCAGGTTAGAATTATTTTGTTCTAACTCTCCATTTGTTTAAACTGAGATAAATCAAGTTGAAGTTTTACACTGCAATCCAGCAGAAGTGGCAATACATTTTTTTAATAATGCAAACGTTTTTCAATACTTGACTATATACTCATTATAATTATTTCGCTCAAATCGCTATTATGGCCCCACCCTGTTTGGAGATATAACAAAATAACTTTTAAATTTTAATTTCGCGTTAATATAATTTTGTGCTATCTCCATTTTTTAGTAAATACAACTTGAACGTTTTGCAATGAGTTTATGGATTACAAGAAATTACTTTTAATTAAGGGATTTAAAAGCAAATATAGACCCTAAAACACTTAGTTAGCAAATTTAAATGGATATGGTCATTTAATTAGTTTTCTAGATATATTGCTTCTGGTAGCATGGGCAGCTTCAATTTTAACAAACTGATTTTAACCAAAGCTATATTATTTATAATAAAATTACTTTTATCTAAAAAGATTTATTGAAAATAAAAAATAATTGTCTTTAATACAAATAACAAGTTAAGAACAGCTTAAATGAACCTTATACAAGATAAAACTGAATAGTGCATAACACAAATAAAGTATATCCGGATAAAGAGTTGAAAAAACAACTACTGAAATAATGTTTTATAGAAACAAACATCTACAGCGGGCATGTATGGATACATAGAAAAAATTTCTTTTATCTTCTCACTAGATCAATATTTTGTCAAAAACTAGATGCCAATGGAATTGATGATTCTTCAAGATTACTTCCTTACTTCCTGATGATCGAGTGTTTTTTAGCTTTTAGATTTGCTCTTCATTTGCATTTTCAATAATTTGAAACTTGTAGCATGTATCACACAGATCCTTTTTCGGCTTTTGAAATTCAATATTAAATTTTGTTTTGAAATTTAAAATTAAAAACATTGCGGTACATACATGCTTTTGCTGGTGAAATTTCATATTGAGTGCAATATGTTAAATACAAATTATAAAGCTTTTTCAAATTTAATGACCCATCAAATTATTGTTTGCAGGAAATGCTTCGACAATAATATGATTCAACTCGTGGAAACAAGTTGATATGGTTTTCTATACTCTGTTTAGTCATTTCAAGAACTTTTTTTTTACAATGTTTCCCCCATTTTGTTGAGGCAGGAGCACCAGTTTTAAGTTTATTTTCATGATAGGACGATATTTGCCTGCTGATGTCTAATGTAGACAAATAAAACTCCTTACATACACGATGCTTGATATTATCAAGAAAGAAATTGTAAAAATAAGTATATTTTCTCCTTGAATTGCTTACTTTATTGGTTCGAGATCTTTTTTTATCTAATCGTTCAGTAGTTTTACTAAAAAAGTGTTGCTTTTCAATCTGAGACATTCCCCACAGTCCATTAAATAATATTTTTCTCTCGTCTTCTGAAATTTTCTCAAAACACTTAAACTTGCAACAATTTTTACAATCTTTTTATTATTTTTTTATTTTTAATAATTCTTGGTTGAATAACTTTACCTCTAATATTTATATATTCTTTTCCTGATATTCTAAGTTGCTTTCTTTTCGACTGTTTCCAGTTATAACAGTTTGCTTTACGTTTTCTTGTTTTTCCACCGTGTGGAGGTAATCGCAGTTGATCAGTAATTAAAGGATGCGTTGAAACATAGGGTGTGACCACATAGGGTTAGCTTGTTGTGGGTAATCTGAAAATAAAAATTAAACATAAAAAAGGTTATGCAATGCAAAATAATTTTATGTTTGAAGATATATTATTTTAAGAAGAGACAAATTTTTTCCATATATGAAACGATTCATTTGAGTCTTTATTTATTTAGTATATAAAACGTGTTGTATATACTAAATAAACAAAGACGTACGGAATACGTGAGGATATTTAATATACTGTTGTATATGTCACATACACATACAATATATACATACATAAATAAAATATATATACACATATAGCATATGTGTATCACGGATTATATAACCGATTCTGTTGTACATTTGACATATACAATAGTGTATATATATAACCATATATATTATATGATATATATACACTGTATGTCACATATACAACAGAATCCGTGAGCTTATAATGAAATGATGATACATTTCTTACTAAAATAATATGTAGAATTATGAATAATAACTAAAAAAAGCCGATTGACACTAGAAACACCTATATTTTTGTTTATTACTCTAAGATATACACTATTTTCATCCGCCATTTTAAAAATTTATACTCAATTTTATTGGTTGTTGGAAATATAACAATATAACATTAAAAACTGTTTATATTTTGCAAATAGAACAATTGGCATACACCTGATTTGCACTATTCAAAAAAAAAAAATTAATTCCAAAAGTAATACAGCTAAAAACAAAAATTAACAATAAAAAAGAAATTGGTATTAACTCTTTTTTTTTTCAAATTTGGAGATATAAACAAAATAATTCTAACCTGACGAATTATATTTTATAAAGAATGTATATTTAAAAAATTTAAAAGTTCAAAAACTTTGCTAGTGCATCATACAAAACCTCATTTTGTTTTATCAACCATCATTCAAACTAGCTTCCATTAATAATCCCCCGACGTTGTTAAAAACAACGTCGGGGGATGTCAAGTAATGACGTCGCCCCGACACCGTTTTACTGATAATGGAACAACATCGGAATAGGTCTGTTGACGTCGCTGATAAAAATCCGACGTAAATCCGACGTCGGATTGACGTCGGGTGCTTACTGGGCAATTCCTAAAAATCTTCTATATTTAGAATTTTCTTGAAGATAAAAAAAAATATTGTAAATTACAAAAGTTATGACCATGCAAATTTTCCGACCCCTTTTCAAAATGAGGGGGGTGTAACTACGTTAACTAATATTTGTACTGTTTGTTTTTTGTTAACTAATTGTTTTTAAAACAATTTAAAATTAAACAAAAAATATTATGGATCACATAAGTCACACAAAAAATATTCTGAAACTATTGATAATAAAGTTATTGATTAATTTTGACAACATTTTTGATGAGCTGGCTTATTAGCAACATGCCAATACTGAACAAATTTTAATATGCTATATGCATCAGAAGCTTTTTTAATTCTAAGTTCCTTATTACTCACAGCTAAAACTGCATTTCATGCCATTTCGGACGATTGATCTTTCTTATGCAATTTCTTACCATCGCTAATTACATTTAACACTAATAATATTTGTTAAGTTAAGTTATAAAAATAACAATTTCCTTGTATTTATTACAAATATTGTTTTCTAAATAATTTATTACTATTGCTTTCTAAATAAGGAAACTAATATTTTAGATTAAAAATAAAATTATCTAACTGTAAACAGCATCATAAAATGGTAATAGTAAAAAATTATAAAAATTAACTTGTTGTCACGATTTTCCTCACAAATGTAATTTTCCTGAAATTAATTTTATTTAAAAAGTTCAACTTTTTTAGATATTTTTTTAAAACCAGATTCTTAAAGAGGATAAAAAATAACGTCTAAAAAATATAAACTTTTTATAAATGAAGTAAATTAGCAATATTTCAAGTTAAATCTTTTGTTGTTGCATTGCTTAAGAAAATACGCAAATTTTGTTTTTCGCTAACTTACTGATGCATTTCGGTACTTTTAATGACTTTTGGTATTTCTAAAAATTAAATTTTATAATAATGAAGTACAATAATTGAAAATATTTTATGAAAAAAAGTTTTTAAAAGAAAATTTTTTTAGCTGAGGTAAAGGCTTCAGACATAAGTGTCCCGTTATGCCCCGCTGTCAAAACTCAAACTCACTTGCAAACTCAAATTGCATTTGAGTTTGCAAATCAAATAATACTTTTGAAAGTACAATTAGCTAATTGACAAAGTTTTGGACTTCTTTCTTAGGAATCATAATATGAAGCCCGAAAGCTTTCTTAAACTTGACAAAACAAAAAAAATGTGTTGGACGGCAACAAGTATTTATTTAATGGTTAAATATCCTTTCTAGGGCGAAAAAAAATCCCGACAATTTCTCATGCATCCAAAATGTAAGGCGAAAATTTTGAGACATTAAATAATAGCCACACTCGATTCTTGAGAATACGTAAATGTGGACCTTGTGTAGCTATGGTATTTTTGAAATAGTCTGGTAATATCCAGTATCCAGTGGCGATTCTACAAATACAATGAAAGGGGTGTGTGTGGTGAGTCCTTACAAAATACCGACTGATTCATTAAAAAAAATTTAAGGTCTTTAAAAAAAAAAATTTACCCGACTGAATTGCGTCAAATACTAGCGTCAAATACCTGACTAGCCTACTAAATTCGTAAAAAAACCGTCTATAATTTGAAAATTACCTTCTTTGGGAGGAGGGGGTTTTATACTTTTTGCTAATTAACAGAAAGACTATACCTATGTATCCATGTAGACCACTGATCTCAAAATATATATTTTGACAAATATATTTTGACAGCAGAACATACGATAACATTATGAGAAATAATTTATTTCACATAATGTTATCGTATAATCTAATGAAAAAAAAATTGTCAATCATTTGCGTAAACGAGCCAAAATGTCATTGATACATTATTTTCAATAAACTGTTATTGAAAAAGCTTATAAATAAAAATCATATTTACGTCAGCCTATTGCCATATTTGCGTCAGTAGATTGTTAAAGAAATTTTTTTATTTTTTTTTTAATTTGTTTTTCACAAGAAATAAAAGTTTACATCTTTTTTAGGTAGTCTTTTTTTTTATTGTTGTTGCTAGGCTACACAAGAAAATAAAGTGAACTAAAATATGATTTTGAATGACTTCTTTTATTCAAGCTTTTTATGCGTGAGTTTAGAAAAAAAAATTGATAAATAAACAATGGGAAAAGTAAAAGGCATAAGATTTGGCGGAAACTTGCTCTGAGGGGGGCACTTTATTGTATTTTCGTTTTTAATTTTAAAGAGCTTTGTTTTTATACGGAAACTTTTATTCAGTAGGTTATTTATAGTAATTTCTTTCCTATTTTTAAGATTAAAGGAGAAATTAATTATCAGCGCGCTCAGAAAAACATACCTTTCATATATGCTACGCTTGTATGTCAGTTAGAGAACAGGCCTCTCCCAAAGCAAGAACTATAATATTCTTGCATCTAATATTTCTGTGTTTCTTCCTATTTTGTCAGCATACACCCCAAGAATCTGATCTGACAATTCACTTAAAATAGAAATGACTTGGTTACTTTCTTGCGTGCCAAATAGTTCGATTAACAAATGCTTCAAACTACTAAATTAATCTACAAAAAAAAACTTCTACTAAAAAGTAATAATTTTCTGATTTCCTATTGAGGCCTAAACTGTTTTCAACCGATTAATGCTCTTTTTGTTTTCGAACGAGTTATAACGTTCTTGTTTTCGATCGATTTATGACGTTCTTGTTTTCGATCGATTTATGACGTTCTTGTTTTCGATCGATTAGTTTTTCCACCGATTTTACAGATTTTCATATTTAACCGATTTAAAATAATTTAATTTAATTAGCGGCTATTATCTAATTAAAACGCTGTTAAATTTTTTGCGTTGTTAAAACGATATCATCGCGCATGATTAAATCTTTGGCGCGAAATTTTGGTGCTAAAATAGTGAAACTAATTTTTTCATTAAGAAAAATATGTTAGCTAAAAAATCCAATCCATTTTTGTTTAAAAAACAATGCATAAAAACATTTAGTTATGACTTTATTTAAAGATGCGAATTTTGTGTAATAAGAGCATGCTCAAATTACCCAGTGTTTTTTATTGAAATTACCTAGTTTAAAGTCATAAAATAGCAGAAGTTTTAATTGCTTTTTGAATAAAAGCAAAATATAGTAAAAAATTTTAATATTTTAACAATACTAAATATTTTTCTGTAATTTAAATTCAAAAAATTTGAATTTTTATCTTTCAAAGGTTTGTGTAAATAAAATTGAAAAAATAACGAACTAATTTTTTTTTTTTTTTTTTGCGGAAAACAAAATAGTATTGTTTCGACAAAAGTGGGTAAAAACTTGATCTTTTAATGACATGATTTGTTAGTAGCGAATCACTTTATTCCAAAATTAGTTCTAATTGTCAGGTTGGTTTTTTTTTACTTAAATGTTATTTTTTTGAGCTTTTTTAAAGTGCTCATATTACCAAGTGGTTTGGGAAACAACTTACTTATAAATTCGATCGAAATAACAGGTCAAGGTGAAAATACTGTAGGTGGAAAATTCAGTCGATCAAAAATACAATAGGTTGAAAATTCAATTGATCGAAATTTCAGTATGTTGAAAAACTAGCAGTTTATGTTTTAGTTAGATGTAAGTATAAAAAATCAATAGTTGTCGGTTGAAGATTAAAACCATTCTATTCTACAATTTAAGAAATTTAAAAATTAGGTTCTAACAAGTTTTTTATGACATGAAATCTTTTTAGTCGTTGCTTTTTTATATTGCCGTTGGACAATAACTACAATTACAAAATAAATAAATAAAAAATTTACATGACAGGAGCAAAAAGAAGACTATAGTTGTCTTATCACTAAGTCCCGTAATATATAGGGTAGATTAGGGTAATATGGGCACCTTGGTAATACGAGCATACTTAAAGAATTATTAGATGTAAGCAGTGAAGTTAAAATTGCTTTGTGTTTTTCGAATCGACTTTATGTGGTGATAACAGGAATCAGTACAATTAGCGTAAATTTATATGCAGTAATTAGCGAACATCATCTAATTAAAACGCTTTTAAATTTTTTGCTTTGTTAAAATAATATCATCACGCGTGAATAATTCTGTGGCGCAAAATTTTGGTGCAAAAATAAAAAACTTAATTTTTTCATAAAGAAAAATATATTAGCTGAAAATACAATACGTTTTGGTTTGAAAAAAAAATGCAAAGAAACATTTATTTTTGACTTTATTTAAAGATGCCATTTTTGAGTGATATGAGCATGCTCAAATTACCCAGTGTTTTTCATTGAAATTACTTAGTTTAAAGTCCTAAAACAGTAGTGGTTTTTAATTGCTTCTTAAATAAAAACAAAACATAGTAAAAATTTTTAATATTTTAACAATACTAAATATTTTTCTGTAACTTGATTTTAAAAAATTTGAATTTTTATCGTTCAAAGGCTTGAGTTACTAAAATTAAAAAAATAACGTATTAATTTTTTTTTTTTTTTTTTTTGCGGAAAACATATTAGTATTGTTTTAACAAAATGTAGCTTAAAATTTGATCTTTTAATGATAAGTTTTGTTAATCACGAATTCTTATATTTCAAAAATTAGTTATTTTAGTCAGGTTGGTCTTTTTTTACTTAATTAATGCTATTTTTTTGAGCTAATTTAAAGTGCTCATATTACCAAGGGGTCTGGGTAATACGAGCACTTTTGCTACTTTTTTAAAACCTCTGTGTTTTTAAGAAAAAATGTCGGGTGCCCAAATATCTAAATGGATCATGAGTAGAGATCCCTAAAAATTGTTTATTGGTAATTGTTTATAATTATATAAATCAAATCATAAGAGTTATTTAACGCCTTAGAAGAAATTTAATTCATTGTCGTTTAGTACAAGATTTTGCCTAAGTATTGTTTTAAATTAGTTAAAAAAAGATAATGTTTTAGATCATCATTTAAAAGTGTAATCCATAATTTAGGTCCTCGATTTGCGATTGAGTATTTAGTGGCTGAATAATAGGTTTTGGATTGGCTAAAGTTATTTTTTGAGAATCTTGTGCTGTATACATGATTTTTTTTTTTAAATATTGAGTAAAATAAAGACGGTGCTGTTTTTTTATCAAGTTTAAACATAAATATAAGGATTTGATAAAGATTTATTTTGAAAACATTTAGTATATTGAGTTTACTAAAAAGTATTTTTGTATGGGAGAGTCGACCTTCATTTGTAATAATCCTAATAGCATGTTTTTGTTTGCAGAGAAGCTTTTTTTATTTTTGTAACGTTGGTGCTACACCAAGCAATATTTGCATAGTTTAGGTAACAATGTATGAATGGTAAGTATATGTAATTCAAACAAGATTGGTTTAAAAACTATTTAGCTTTATACAGTATACTAATATTTTTTTAAATTTTGTTCTCAATTACATTTATATGTTCTCTCCAATTAATATTTTCATCTAGAATTACGCCTAAGAATTTTAACGATATTTCCCTTTTTAGTAAATTATTTTTAATAAAAAGATTTGGTAACTTCAATGATATTAATTCGACATTTCCTATTTTAGTAAAATATTTTCAATAAAAAGATTTAGTAGTTTCAATGGAAATTTTTTTTTTATGAAATGATTAAATAATGCGTATTTAGTTTTAATAATGTTCAGGGATAGCTTATTGTATTTAAACCATTGGCTTAGTTTATCAAGTTCTTTGTTTACTGTTAAAAATAAAATATTAATATCTTCATTGGAATAAAAAAAGGTAATTTCATCGGCAAATAAAATTGAATTTAAGATAAAATTATTTAAATCATTAATATAAGCTAGAAACATAAGGGGTCCTGGTATTGAACCCTGGGGAACACCACATGTGATAGCCATTTATCCGTTTTTCACCTTCGCATGAAATATATTGCTTCCTGTTAAACAAGTAACTTTTATGCCAAGCCAAATTTGAATTTCTTATACCGTAGATTTGAGTTTGGATAAAATAGTTTATGATCAACTGTATCAAAGGCTTTGCTTAGATCTATAAAAACACCTAAAGTATACTTTTTTTCATTACAAGATGTAAGATTGCGTGATCAGTAGAATGACCAGATTTAAAAATTGTTTATTGTACAAAATATTATTTTTGTTTAAGAAAGAATTGAGTCTTTTATACATAATTTGTTCTAAAATTTTTGAAAAACATGTAAGAATTGAGATCGGCCTATAATTAGTAACGTCATAAGGATCACCTGATTTTAAAATTAGGACAACTCTAGCGATTTTTAACTTTTCCGGAAAAACTCCTTCTTTTAAAGATAAATTGAATACATACAAGAGTGGGATTGTAATGGGTTTTATTGAATTGATAATGATGCTACTACTTATATTGTCAACTTTTTGGGATTGATTAAAAAAACATCGACTAATAATTCTTCTTCAGTAAGTTTATCATTTGACGTAATATTAGTGTTATTAGAAACCAAGTATGCATCAAAGTTGGTTTGAGAGGATTCAATTTTTGATGCTAATGAAGGACCAGCATTTACAGAAAATTCATTAAGTGTTTCAGCCACTAATTGTTTCTTTATAACGTAGTTATTATTAAATTTAAGAAATTTATGAATAGTATTTCTGTCAGAATTATTTTTACCAATGAATTCCTTAATAATACGCCAAGTACTTTGAGGATCATTCGACTGCTTTTTTTATTGATCTGAATAATAATATTTTTTTGATTTTTTTACAATTGACTCAAAGAGTCGTTTGTAGTTTTTATAATTAGTTTCAAAACGAATAGTTTTTTTTTAAGATATTTATTAT